GCGACGAAAACCCAACCCCGATGGCAAACACCAGGGGGGGTGGAACTTGTGCGCTTGGAGCATCCCAGGATGATTTTCGCTGCCTTAGTCGTTAGACCATTGCCCTCGCATCCCTACAAAGCCGGGACGGAGCACGCCGGGTTCTCACCGGACCAGGCTCTCACATCACCAAGCGCGAAGCGCCGTGAGATATTCGGCGAGTCGCATGAAGGGTGCGCTGCATCCNTGACCTCGCATCCCTACAAAGCCGGGACGGAGCACGCCGGGTTCTCACCGGACCAGGCTCTCACATCACCAAGCGCGAAGCGACGTGAGGTACTCGGCGAGTCGCAAGAAGGGTGCGCTGCATCCTGCTAGGGGTGTTCGGCATCTTGTGTTTACTTCCTTGCGTACGGATGACAGCTGCGTATGACTTGAGATGTTTTCTGGTGCTTCACTTCCAGAGACAGTTGTAAGCACTGTGTAACTGCCTAGAGGGTGCTTGACCAATGTAACACAACGTGGTGCGATCATTCCCCTTGCGAGGAGTGAGGGTTCTCGACCCCGCACAACATGATCCACTCGACCACCATTATGGTTACGCCAAAAAAAAACAGAGGTCCAAAAAAAACCGGTAACCTGGTTGCCGAGATCACGAAGTGCATTCGCTTGTTTTACAGCATCGTTGCCAAGCGACGAAAACCCAATCCCATGGCAAACACCGATAGGGGGGCTTGTTTAACAACGTCGTTGCCAAGCGACGACAACCCAACCCCAATGGCGAACACCGGGGGGGGCGGAATCGTTCCAGGGGGGGGGGATTGATTTTGGGTGGGTTTCATTACCACTGGACGAAACAATTCAACAAAATGCGGTGGGGAACCTATGTAGGCTGCTGTGAACAGAGTGCCCCCTGGGGAGTATCGCCAAAACCCGTTCGGTGGTCCCTGTAATGATGCATGTCATGTGTGTTTTCCGCCGAACATATGCCTCTACTAACAGGTGTAGTCTCTTAAAGTATGTGGCGCCGCACGTCCTGCTTCAGTCGCCTCACATGCGTCGAAACAGCAACTGCAGTGGTCTTGACGGATGCCAATCAGCGGTTTCAGAGAGCATGCGCATGGATGCGTGCTGAAGGCGCCGCTTCCGCAAAAGCTGTCGTGTTGTACGCTCCGCGTGTGGGAAAAAACGGGCAAAGGGAACTCGCCGCACGTGTACAGCATTATGTCTGAGAACCTGGAGTAGTTGTAGCCCAAAGCTGCATTGCGGACAGAGCTATTATAGTGTAGCGAACACTCGTTTGTTTCCCTTTGGTTGCTGATCTTGCCTATCGTCGATCGTTTCCAAAGTACAGCAGCAATCTATGGTGGTGCCTGCTGTTTGTGCCAAGGTTTGGTCTACATCACACATGACACGCAAACATGGCCGGACCGCCCGCTCCTCCTGTAACCAGCTCTCTCGAGTCCCAACGTCTCGACTGGATTGTTAATAGAGCCTTGGTTACACTTTGATAGTAACTCTTTAGGACTAACCGATGTTGAACGTATCAAGGCTAGGTTCTTCACGCGAGCAAGGCTAGGTTGCTCACCCCACATCTACCCTAACCCTAACCTAACCCTCACGCTCCCCCACGGCCAAAGCACGGTCTAGCGGCCGCGAACTTGGCAGCACGCGACGCAGCCGCGTGCTCGGAATGCGGAACGGGGAGAGGGCGCTGGAGAAGAATCGGCCGCCAGAACCAACGCCGAACAACGCCCGACCAATCAGAACGCGATAGTCATGAAGATCTACTACCAATGTGTAAACACTATGGTTCGACGTGGGCCAAGGCCTCCGTCAGGGATGCAACCTGGCCCCGCTGCTGTTCATCTTGCTCTTTGCCGTGATGCTCATGGTCGCCGTGGCCGAGTTCGACAAGGACCCCATGGTGACGGCGGACATGGTCAAGATCGGGACACAAGTGGAGGGCAAGAAGGGCAGGTCGGCGGGGAAGAAGACGACGGTGGTGACGGACGCGGAGGCCTTGTGGGCCATGCTCTACGCTGACGACGCGGCCATCGTCTCGCGCTCGCCGGAGAGCCTCGAGAAGATGATGTCGATCATCGTGCGCGTGGCCGGCCTGTTCGGACTGATGGTGTCGGAGCCAAAGACGNTGGGTGTCTCGTCTAGGACAGGACCTCGTGGCCTTCAACACGGGAGACGGAAAGCAAGGGGGTAAATGGAAAGAGAGCGCCAAGGACCCGGAGGTGTGGTACAACAAGGTCGAAGACGGGGCGGCATGGTTCATGAGAACATGGCACAGGCAGGAGGCGGAAGCGTCCGCGAAGCGCCAGCGCGAGAGGGAAGCAGAAGCAGAGAGTACGGCCATCTCAGGACCGAAGAGAAGAGAGTCGGGGAAGCGGCGGTGGGGGGGAAGAAACGGCGACTGGGCACTGCTGAAGAAGCGAGTAGGGCGGCCGAGGCAGCACTTGTGGCGAACGATGTACCCGGCTGATGTTGTTGCGCCCTGTTTCCCTCCCTGCTGTATGCTTTACTACTTTATGTATGTCCTTTGTATTGCCTTCGGCCTCTGTGCTGTGTTTCTTTTTTTCATGTCCTCCCTGCCTACTCTGCTGTGTTGGGTACCTTGATCTCGCTTTAGCTGTTGCTTTTGTTTTTGTACATCTAGCTGTCTGCCCATCTGCCGCCACTTTGTCCTATTTGCTCCGTTACTCCCATGCCCTGGTGCGTAGTGCCTGGTGCTGGTACGTTACCCTTTGATTTTTTTCTTCAGGCGGGTGTGGGAAGCATCCTCCTTTATTTTTGTTTTTTTGTTTTATTTTGATCGGTTTCCGAGGGCTCTTTCTCGAACGGTCAGTGGGTACCTGTTATTTTCTTTCTATCATTTTGTTTTCTTTGTCCGAGTGGTTTGTACCCTATTTTTGTTTTATTTCCCCGCGGCGTCATATGTGCCGGGTGTTGAGACCACGGGCTCCCCATTTATTGTGGACTAGACTAATAGAGACTAGAGCTACTGACTGTAATGTGAGAAACAACAACAACAACAACAACTTGTAGAAACAACACCTACAACAACAAGTACTGCTGTTAATAGGCGCGCCCCTCTCAACTATGAGCGTCTTTTTCCACTCGTCGACCATGCAACACACATCACTCTTACTTTTCATCTCACCAGGGCTGCGTCAAACGCCTGCACAGCAGATTCATCGTCGCCCGCATCGCCAATGCGACAGGCCTTCGTCCTAGACGACGAAGGCGCGAGGGGTGCTGGAGGCGTCCCGATCATGGGCTCAACGGACGAAGCCCTCGCTGCTTGTGAGCCTGACGCGGCGCCAGCCGCCACCTTCACTCCGACGGCGATATTGTTCAACCCCTCCCCCCCCTTCCCTATCTCATCTCGCGCTCTTCGTACCATCACGCCAGAAGAATCGTAGGGCAGAGGGTGCAACCCAACAATGCCAACCAGCATGGCAACGGTTCAAAGTTCAATGGTTGCATGCCGCGGGCAGAGAGAGTATGTATGAGGGCAGGACATCGGGTCGCATCCGTTGTGCCCCCTTGCGCGTCCAGCCAGCGGCACATGAGCAGGTCCAATCCAGTGGTCACAAACCCAGAAGCCAGCTGAGCTTCACCCAAGTCACCGACGTGCTCCGAAAAAGCAAGGTGTATTGATAAAGCAAGGTAGTGAAGACGGCGGCGGTCTTTGCGACGAGGGAAAAATGCATGACACACACAAGCGGTACGAAAAAGCAAGAAGCTTGACATTAGAATCGAACGACATACACTCAGTTTATAGCCCACAATAAGAATTCGAGCCTGGACCTGAAATCATAAGCGGTTCTTCATTGCGGGCGCTAACGGCACGTACATGTACCATCATTCGCGCATTCTTTGGCAGCTCTCGCTACATATTTCATTTCGCAGTGGAAAAGTTACCTTGTGAAGCATTTTCGCAGGCATACAACCTTGAGAGCGCGTGGCGTCACGGGTGGGCACATTCATTCCTGATGTGTTAAAATGCGCCGACTAACATGGTTTAGTCTAGAAGCCGAGGACCAAACGCCTGCGAGGTGTATTATAGCAATTACTTTTCCCGCTCTCGCTGTGAGCCTTTCAGGTGCATCACCTTCGGAAAGTGTGAACGTAGGTTTAAGGCCTCCGTCCCAGCCAATACAGGATCCAAGAAATAGCAAGTACACTTGAGTTTTGAGCAGATGGCATGGGTGACCACGGAAGACGCGTTAGTTGGACTGGTACGGATGTAAGTAGGTGCTGAGAAGAGACCACCGGGTGTTTGGTTGAATGATGAGTAGCACTCAACCTGTCTTGCGTTTTTTCTTGATATTCCGTCGAGCTCGCTTTCAGGCAGGCTTCCACTTTCTACGAACGCCTCTCTCCCAGGCCTCGCCCCATCCCCGCTTACGATGTGATCTACACTGGAAGCTGGAAGCGCGAAAGAGAGTACCAAAAGCGTCCGCTCTCTCAACACACGTGATCTAGACTGCTTGCTGCTGTCCCACACGATTTAAGAACTTCCTGTGCCATTTCGTGTGAGAAAAAGTAGACCGCCTCTTGCCAATGTGTCAACATCGACAGACGGCTGCGGCACACTCCCTGTGTTTGTTAATTCACATCTATGCATGAAGGTGCGACGGAGAAAAGCAGCGCCCCGACTACCCCCTGCCCCCCGATTATCCGACTACTCCCCTTACGGAAGCCCAAATCCTCCCTAATGCCCGCTCTATTGCACCGGCAAGGAGAAGGGGGACAACGCGAAAAGGGGATACGAGCACACGGTCTAAGCTCCCGCAGACCCTAGGTCCTGTCTAGATACACAGCCACAGGCAAGCCACTCGGACTCCAGACCAACAACAACAAAAAATGACCTCAAAAAGACAGGGGGGCAAACCCCCGCGCATGAATCGTTCCAACCTTAACGAGAGCAAAACTGCTGTGGAAAACACATTCCGGTGGGCACACGACAAATTATCGAACCTTGCGGTCTTTGGATAGAAAGGCCTGCACACGGGAAAACAAGCCTGTCAACAACATCGGCAAAAACTCTAAATCACTTGTGGTTTTCTCGAAACCACCATATATTGCTGTAGTTTTCACGTGCAAAAACTCGAAACCACTACGGTGGTCTTCACGTGTGCACGTTCACCAATGCCGTCCGAGAAAAACGTCATGATAATCTTCCTTAAAGAGCCTTGGGCAGGTTGTTGATGTTGCCCTGGGGCTTGGGGGCTGCCTTGGGGGCGGCCTTGGGGGCGGCCTTCTTAGGAGCAGCCTGATAAAGAAGAAGAGCACACATGAGCACACACGCGGCGATTCGCGGGCAACTAACATGAGAAAACGTCTAACTTTGATAATCCGAGAGATAATCCGAGAGAGGGCGTTGAGGTTGCTTTTCCATGCAACGCTGGCGTGCTTTCGTTGTGTATGTATGTACATGGGCCAAGGGCGCGGCATGAACACGCGAAACACAACACACCACGTCCCCCCACACGCGCTTGCAATCATACATTAAACTTCATGCGTGAGAGCAGCTAAAAAAGCAAAAATACTGTTGTTTCCTCTACTTCTGTTTTGTCGCGAACATGTTCCCCGCCACCATCGTTGCCACCACTGAGAAAGAAGCCTCTCCAGGGGATGAACCCCCTCTGCGCTTGTTGTACTCTGCCGTTTCTCTCCGGCACGTCCCGTCATAAGATTTAGGTAGGCAATGACCTCGAGGAACGAAACTAAAACAGCAGCATTCAGCTTGAAACTGCCGGCGGGATTACCTTTGGCGCCGCCTTCTTGGGAGCGGCCTTTGCCTTCGGTGCGGCCTTCGCCTTCGGTGCGGCCTTAGCAGCGGGCCTCAACGAGAACTTGGCAGCAGCGGCGCTGAGCGCATCCTTAGTAGCAGCCTTCTTCGCGGGAGCCTTCTTGGGCGCGACCTGAAAAAGAAACCGAGTTCAGATAACACGCCGACGGTGAGGGGGGGAGGGGGGGGGGTTGTTACCGACCGCGACATCTTGCGCCTGCTCCGCTTCTTGGCAACGCGGAGCCTATGCGTGTCGCATCGCGCATTATCGCGCAACCAACCTCAGTCTAAACTTCAATAGCAGCAATACCTAGTCAAGAGTTCAAAAGCAAGACACGAGTGTTCTCGCGCCGCAGTCATCACTACCACCACGAACCCCGGGGTGATGCGCATCAATTCGATAGCTTTTTCCTGCTATGTGCAACGAAAGCCGCCCATGCAACGGGAGAACGAACGTTGTGCTCCGCCAACCTAGAGCAGAGAGATGCGTCAATACATGGTTAGCCGTGTAGCAGTAGGTTGTTCTAGTGCAGCGGCCGCTACCAACAGCGAAAGAACTCGTGTCCTGGAAAAAAAACTCACAACGAGATCTCACCGTCTTGGAGGCCTTGGCCGGCGCGGGGGTGTCGTCCGACAAACCCGACTTGTCCACGTACACGGGGAAAAACCTTCCGTAGCCGTATTTCTCGGTCCACGTCTTGTACTGCGAAACGAGTAGCAAGAGGATTACGGCAAGGGTTGGTCGATCGCGGATTCAAGGTTGGAAAAGGAAATAACAAGCCGGTCTCTAAGCGCTAAGTTAAAGAAGCGAAGACAACAAAAAAGTTAGTCGTGCGGGAAATAATGACATCGTCCTTCAAGCCAAAACTTGCCGCACACGCGAGTACCCGTCGTGGACATTCCGAACTTTCAGCATTCATATGTCCATGGGGTGTGCATCTCGTTCAACATACGGTAGCCCATCTCGCCCCACTCATCTACCTCCCGAAATCGGTCTTAATGCGATCATCCACCAGGTGAGGGACATGTCCAAGCGCCGGCCAAATGTCAAGTTCACAAGCTTACAAAAATGGGAGACAACCACCACCAGGGTGGCAACAACATCCGCCACCACGCCACCCGTACAAAAAAAAAAACGTCACATGCACACGGAACGGAACAAACTTCCGACAAGATGACGATCGATGGCCCCATCACCCTGAAAATGGCGGCTACTCACAAGAGAGGGGTTGGTGGGGATGTTGGCCTTGGCCAGCACCTCCGCTTTCAACTTCATGCGCTCGGCGTTGTTTGAGGTCTGTCCGAAGATCTTCTCGAGCAGTGTGTAGTCACCTGCGGGAGAAGGAAACAACAGCGCAATTGCGCCGCAACATGACAACAGCGACGACGATGAAGGCGAGGAAACGAGATAAATTCAAGCAGGCATCCGCAGACACTCTTCTGCCTTTCGAGAACTAAAATACGTACGTTGCACACGAACGAAGTTCCAACGAATTAGTCGAGCAACAGCAGATGCAACGTGGCAGCAAGGGGCCGAATACAGAAGGACCGTCTTTGGCTCAAAAAGGCTGCACTGAAATTCGCCCACGTCCCTTGCCATGGTCAGTTGCCCAGCTTGAACACCGATCTCTAATGATCGTTAGGACCTGACCCAGCTACCGCAGTAAATAACAACCGACACTCAAACTCCTCCACATTGTCTCAAGCCCAATCTATGCTTCATTGACTGTCGAGGCCTGTCCCTCCGTTTGGGAGGCTATTCCAAAATATTCTATTCTAAAAAATAGTTTGATTTCATAGCCTTGGACTACAAAAGGAGCGAGCGCAAGTTCTGAACAGCTTTCGTGCCCAGATGTGCCATTCTATCAATATCTGAGGTCCGTATTGGTTTACTCGTTCGAGCATGAGACCACGGCACTTGGCTCTTGATGGCGCGCGAGGGTGCTGCATCGAGGACGGGGGCCAATGCCAATACAACTACATGCCTGCAACACCCAAAAATACACCACAACGATCGTACAGAGCACCACCTGAACACTTTGCTCTAGGCCAAAGCGTCAACCCTTGTTGCAACGCACTCACCCTCCTCCGCGATTTCCTTCTCCGTCTTGTCCATCCTGTAGCGCAGTCCTTGCTCCCCCAAGTACTCGCCGAGCCATTCTTCGGAGGGGATGAAGTCCGCCTCCTTGAGGGACCACCCCATGCGCAGAGATGTGCTTGATGTGGCGGTGTTGCTGCGGCCGCGCGCTTGCGTCCTGGATGTGCGCGATATTGAGCGCGGGAAACGGGTATATTAGAAGGACAACGTGAGCAAAAGAAGCAGCACCATGAAGAGACACCGGAAGATGCTTCGGGGGAAAATGCTGTTGTCGGTAAAAAACCTCCAACCCCAGGAGAGTTCTCGTTTACAGGTGTCCAGATATCTAGCGGGGTGCTGTACAACTACATTGGATGATACCCAATAACCTTGCTTCCATATCATGTTTCACCCCCTTTTGTTCCGCGAAATTCCAACTTTGTAGGTGGTTCCGGGGCCCATTCTGTTCTGGATGGCGAGGTATGTGGTAGAGTACCGCGAGGCTGTGATTCAGTTCCTCCCTCACTACCCAATAAATTAACCTCCAAGGCTGCAGTATTATACGTCGTGCAGGTACACCGCATTTTGCTGAGGGATAGACAACCAGATAGGTGCAAGCTGGTTTGCGGCGACAACGTTCCATGATCTGGGACATCTAGCTGCCTGTGTGTTTCTTGATTATATGGTTGGCATCCACCTCCCTAACCGCTTGGCCAAAGAAAACTACGCCAAATATACAAAAATGCAAACACACAAATTGTTAGGCAGTCATGGAGTTCCCGATGTCCGTGGTTGCGGTTTATCTCCTATCTTGTATCTCCAATCTGTGACGCTACCCTTGTGCTGATTTCAAATGTAAGGCGTCCATAGAGGCTAGACTGCAATATAGTCTGCGGCGGCTACGACGTACACCAATAACCGCTTCGGTGCAGGGCGTAGGGATCCCTGACAGCAGTAAGTTGAACAATGTTGACCCTCACGCGTCAGGTTTATCAGTACGGGTGTCAGGCTATGCATGGAAGGATACAATACCACTGCAGGGATTGTAAAGTTTGTTTATTTTTTCATGTAGGCAAAAAAATAACATCGGCGAGGCCGGACTTACGGCACTACCGGCATACATGCGTACGTCGAGATGATTGATTCGTGATGGGGGTTTTGTTTGGGGGCATGACTGCGGTGTCGGGGTGCTGCGTTGCTACAGCAGCCTGTGGCACAAGCATTCGGATATGCTGTACAAGCAGTTTGCAGCAGTCATGCACTGATCTAAACCGGATTTCGTGTTCCGAGAGCTGAAATCCGCAACCACGCGCTAGTCTACAAGCATCCAGCGCTTGCTTGAAAAACACAGGTGAAACAGAGAATCATGTGTTCGGTGTCAGTGGTGCAGACAGCAGTGGGGGTGTTATTCTCAGACATGCTTACTCTACCCAACTCGGAAGATGATCCGCACATCAACATAGGCGCGCTGTCGGAAACGAGCCAACGAGCCATCGAAATCAACGAACCCAGCGCTATCACACCATCTCTCTCGGGATTTACCAGGCGGAGGAGGGGGATGGGACCCCTGCATCTGACACAAGCAAGCGGACCGTTCGCCCCTCTGAAGAGTTGAAAGTTGAGTGAGCAAAGGATACGTCTGGAGAGTGGAGGGGTAAACACACATCATGTTTTCGCTCCTGAATGTGATCGGCCTACCCTGAGCCCAGACACACCACGGCACGTGAGAGAGAATACACGCGAACGCCCGTCGGCGACTTGCGACTCACCCGCCCCGCCGAGCAGGGCACTGCCGTGCGGTGTTCTCTGTCACCTACTGATGAGACTTCTCTCAACGAGTGACGTTGTCGCGTTTTTCGCTCGTCAGTCATGTGCTCTGCTGACGACTCACCTCAGCGCAGCGGGGGACACGGTGAAGGCATTCGCACAAGAGCAAGTCAACGCAACGAGGGAGAGTGCGGCAGTCTTCATGGTGTATGCTCTGGTTGCGAACAAGAGAAGAGCCTGCGTGTGCGTGAAGGCGTAATAAGAGCGACACCCCACAAAACACTCCCACAGAGAGGGGGCTACGCGGTTTCGAACGTCCCCCTCCGACGGCGTCTGGGATGACGTGTCGTGTGTTATAGCGCATTCAAGATTATTGTGTAACGCCTGATCAACATGAGTACGCATATGCATACATAGTGCTCAAGCGAGCGCCCGTGGTTGATCACGTTCTACATATTGAATCATCCTTGGTGCATCCTTGGGATGCTTGTCTGAGGATGAGGGTATTCAATCTCGTTGTTGAGGAAGAGAAAACAAACTCACTTTGAGAGTCGTCGGTGTGGTCGACTTTTCCTTTTTTGGTCAACTCAAGCTCACAGCGCTAGTAGTCTTCTACTAGTTAGTGCCGTTTAACCCGTGGCCACACAGAAGAGCCCCTCTCTACCCTCCCCTCCTGCGGTGCTTTGCCTTCGATTTTTAATGCGAGAAGAGTTCAATACTCTCTTCCCTCTGTGTACGACTAAGTAGCGCTATCCACTATAGGTAGGCCAGGAGGAGCGGAAGCGAGAGAAAAACTCACTTTACAAGCATAACTTCGCTCATACGCCGGGATTCGAACCAACCCCTGACGACCTGATCACTTTAAGGTTTCGAGGTTACCAACTAGACCGCCGGGGCGACCGATTCTGTCATATATTATTATATTGATTGGCGACTCGGCACTCACGCTTGGTGGCGAAGGAAAAACATCGCTGCGGTGTGTCACGCAGTCACGCACGAGGCAATGTTTGGTGCAGGGTTGGATGGATTGGTTTGTTATTAGGCTGGAAAGTATTTCACGATGTTTTGATTGATTCATCGCTTTATTTATCAATCATCACTGGATTTGCCTATAGTGGAGCTTGCATGTACACAGCAAGCAGCAGTTAGAATCGAAGAGAGGGTGGTGGTGTGTAATCGAAACCAACTTGGAAGTTACATACTACGTGCAACGTCCCCTCTTTGTGCATACAGGAATGAATAATAAATAGATGTGATTTGGAACATCACAAGGCTAAATTGCGTGCGTCGTAGGGTCAAACAGTAGTAGTATAGCGCGATCGACTACAGCAACAAAAACATGATGAATGGACGCTTCTCTGAGAGGCCCTCGCCTGCCTGTGCTGCATTTAGTTGCCCCTTTCATCCTCGCGAAGTCACAAGGATGAGACAGGAACGCAACCGTCGGGATATCGAAGCTTGTTCCTATTGGGAGGGTGGCCCACGTGAACAGGAGGCCAGCGACTTTGCGCAAGGCACGCCTCCAAAAAATAAGACTTGAATTGGTGGTGTGGTGCACGAGTCCTTTTCGCTTTGTCACGCGTGGCCGACAAAGCAGGAAAGAAAGTAGATATGCACGGCGTCTTAAAGTTGGACATAGAGCAAGTCACTGAGCACAATACGCTAAACTGCCCTGTCTTTCTGGCCAGTATTCGTAGCTCTTGTGTTGCTTTACGAACGAAAGGTAGGAGTGTTTCGCAGTCGTTGAGAAAAGCAGCTCATCTTCGTGAGCACTAGTGACTCCGCATGATGGGGCTAGCCTCCCCCGAACTACGCATATATATGTTACCTCAACCTCTGTAGCTATGTAGTAGTGCAGAATATATAAACCGGGAGACCATCACAGTAACTCACGCACAAAGAAAACAACCAAACCTCACGTTGAACAAAAAAAAGTCTAGTAACTCGTCTGCCAGAGATTGTAATACCAACTACTTCAGACGGCGCGGGTCTTACTTTCCGAACCATCATAACACCGGAATATCAGCCAATCAAAACATGCCTAGTGGGGACTTCCCACTTGTCACAGTAGCCAGGCATATATATCGTTCTTGCTCTGTTGTAAATGCACTGCTGAGGAACTTTGTGGAAACGAACACAAGATGTGTTCACCGTCAAACCCACAATCCGAAATCACGCGATCGGTCAGCCTCTTTCTCTTGCTACTCGCCCATTTCACCACGGCAAAAAGTCTTGTTCGCTGTTGGGCCCTGACACAAGTGCCGGGGCCATGATCCACATCTTGAACCCGGTCGCAAACGCTAGGCCGAGCGCCGTCAAAACCAAGGCCGCAGCCATGCCCTCCCCGCCGCCAGGCGCGCAAGGAAAGCAGAGCAGCCAGAAGCAGCTGTAGTCGCATCCCCTCGCCGATGCTCCAGCAGGTAGAGCAGCAAGCACCGCTGTGATCAGCAATCCGAGGTCGAGCCCTGCGCATGAAAGGGGATGAATACTGCTCCTCAGCCGCGATGCTTTTGAAACAAATGTGCGTGCCCTTCAACCCGCATGGTTGTGTGAAGGAGGACGTAGACGGATTCCGACAAAGTAGAGCAATATCGTATCAGCGGTCAAACGTACCAGGCGCCCTGTAGTCGCGCGATTCACCCGCTCATGCCGCCTGCGACGTCTTACTCGCTCTACCTCCGGGAGCCGAACTTCCAACGTCTCTCTGAGAACCACCACCCTCTTCTTGCCTGACAAGACTCCCTCAGAAGATGTCTACAACTCGAACGAGACCTGCGACAACCCCTTCACACGACACATCGATCGACGACGATATTGTCGCAGGTCCAAATAGGTGACGTTGTGCGATTTTGAGACATCTTCTGAGGGAGTCATGTTAGGCAAGAGAGAGGGTAGGGGTATTCAGAGGGACGATTGAAGTTCCGCTCCTGGAGGGTAGGGTGTGCAAAACGTTGCTGGCGACACGCGCGGGTGAATCGTCTGACCGCAGGGCACTTGGTACCGCACTTGTGATGAAATTACCTAGGTTAGTCGTACCTTCTGTTTCGAGCCCACCATTGGTGAAACCCTCTTCTCGTAATGCAACAAATACCTACTACAGCGCGACTTTTATCAGGGTTATTTAGACCTCCTTACGCTTCAGGTACGTTCACTTTTCTAGAGGTGAATGGAGCTCACCTAGGTTAAGGGCGCAGGAGGGCCCCGAACACCCCCAGGCCGTCCCACACATCCCGCCGCGTGACGCACAAGAGCCGGTGCTGTGGTGCCGAATGTGTCCGGATTTGGCACAGTGCACAGACCAGCCCCCGTTGAGGAAGCCGAGGGGAATCGGCAGGTAGATCGCCAACCAGGGCGACAACGCAGAAAACAGGGAAAAGGGGATACCTCGCCTGTATTTTGGAAGACGAAGACGGGCATCCAGCCAAAAGAGGCGCTGTTGGGTGAGGAGTTGGACAGGGGGGTGGGAAGACGGCTACTTTGGGGAGAAAAGGTACAAACAGGTAGCGGAGTGGGTTTCAAGTACGTGTACGTTCATCGCGTTATTGCATCAATGCGCTCAGCGTCTTTATGCTCGGACTCTTCAAAACCAAACGGGTGACGAGCGATTCTGCCAGGGAAACACACCAATTAGCCAACAATATTCGGGGTGTCTTCGTCACGCACGCACGAGAGAACCACAGGTGTGATGTGTATACGTTGTTCCGTTAAAGTGAATCAATATTCTTTAGAATGGGGTCATGTGTGAAGAAAGGGTCATGAAATGGGCTGTAAATGACCAGCGAAGGTCAGAGAAGCCGACCAAGACATGCGTGTTCTCCCGTTCTCGGTTCGAGCGAAGCACGCTCTCGAGGAGCCGATCGCCGAATTCCGCGAACCCGGTTCACCAAGTAGACTAGATGTCAAACCGCTGTCAAGCATAAAGTTGAGATACGTGTTGTTCGAAAACACGTCGATGCGGACGGGGATTTACGGTCACGTGTGTTTGGATTATGTAGACTTTTACATCAGTGTTGAGTAGTTTTCTCACCGCTTGCGACCAACCGCTGACATGGGACAAGGGCTGCGGGAGGCAGCACTGAGTACATGGTAAACTGGAAGTTTTTGCCAGATAGGATTTGTACCGCGGATCCATGTGGCGTTGAGGTAACGCGTTTTGGCTTGATGTTTGCATTTTGCTGGGCAGCCTGTACGAGTACCGAAAACTGCCCTTGCTCTTGTTGAGTAGTGTAGGAACCCAGACCCATGCAGAAGTGCCACTATAGACTAGCTGTTATGTAGCTGAAGTATGGAGGTAGCCGTGTTGTGGTGCGGTACAGCAGAGTCCTTTGGTGTTTTACGATGGAACGATGACATGATAGAAATGCCGGAATTTGACCGAAAGTTGTCTTCAGCCATTTCAGCGTGTGAAAACTGGTGTTTGGTTGAGAGTTATGTGGTGCATGAAGTCCATGCAAGATGATAAGACGAGGTTCACGAAGAGAAGCAAAGAAACAAGCAGCAATCTGCATCTATCTGCGGACAGCCTACACTCAGACCTTGAACCGATACAAATATTATCCTGTTCTGGAGTAGGCCAAGCTCGCTCATGCGACACCTCGCCCCGCCGATCCAACCTGTAAACGTTGACCCGTATGCATATCGGCTTGCATGGGCGTCTTGTGTCGAAAACACGATAGCCAGCCAGTCAAGATCATGATAGTCTCTTATGCATACGGAGTCCTGCACTTGACGAAAATAGTCCCTCTGTCATGGCTCTCTCACCAAGTAACAAGCAGCAGAAGCAACAGCAGCGAAGAGGTCGTCAGCATCGCGCCCCCCGCCCAGGCCAGGGCTTTCGCTCGCTCATCGCTGAGGGCAACCTTCCGAGAGGACGTTACAGCCACCACGCCGGCTTTTCCTGCTTTTTCTCCTCCCACAGCAGCGGCGGCCGGTGCTTTCGATTTTCCCCGGAACCCTCCCTCGCCGCCCGGGATCTGCCGGTGGCAATGTTCACATTCGGTCGGGCCCGACCCCAGTCCACTTACGCTCGGCGTGCCGCATCCTTCGCATGCCCCGTGCAGCCCCGGCCAGGGCGCATGGACGCGTAGGCCGGGAACCTCTACCTTGAGGTCATCAGGGTTTAGGTCAACGTGTTGTGCTGGTGCTGCCGCTATGTCTCGGGTCGTGCTGTTGCCGCCGCGAGCTCGCGGAAGGTCTCCGTCGCGGGTAGTGCCTTTTTCGAGGGCGTCTTGTTGCCTGCCGCAGAGCCTGTCAGAATTAGCGATGCGATCCTCGTGCGTGGTGACTTGTAGCGAGTGAATTTTGCTGCCGGACTTCATGCCTCTTGTAGAATTTGGTTCGCTCTCCCGTCGCGGGTGAGCGATCGTGCCTGTGTTCGGCCACACTTTCGGAGTGATTCGTCCCCTGGGATGTGTGCCGTCCCAGGCCTATCTCAGCGCAGTTCGCATCGTATTCTTTGCACCACTGCTCCAGTCTCCTGCCTTCAACAGCTCAAAGGCATCATCATCTCAGAAGAAAGTATCGCCGAGAACATGATGTGTTTTGCCGAGAAGTAGCCGACGCGCGCGGGCTAAAGATTCGGCGGTTTCAACAAACATGCTCCTCCTTCCTTCCTACAAACCCCCCTGTCTCTCACATGTAGCTACTCACAGCTGTCTTCTCTTCCCTCTTTTGCACTTGTGCACCCGACAACTCGAGGACAATGAAGATTGCTTGCAGTGTGGCGTTGTTGGTTATGGCGGGGTATCCTCACGGAGGTGCTGGCTTCCACGCTGGCACGGCTCGAACGGGAAACATGCGCTCCCAACGGATCATGCGCATGGCAGGTAGAACGGTGTACGTACGCAAAAATGTGTATACAGCAGTAGAATATGGTCTCCGCCGTATGTACGCAATCCGTTGTGACTCTGGGGGCGGGTCGAGCGTTTCTCTTTGTGCCCTGCAGCATAGTTTCGCTCACTTGCTTGCTTCGTGGTCCATTGACTGGTATCTTTTACGTAAGGAACACAATGGTGCTTGTGTGCGGTGCGCGCGTATTCGTGCGAGACGCCAACGCCCGCGTGTTTTCCCGCGAAACGCGGTGCAACAAGCAGATGTTCCGCACCTTCTATGTTGTTTCCCAAGGAATCGATCCCAGCTCCTAAAAACACCGTAACAGCCGGAAGCATACAAGAGGGCGCAGTGCCACGGGGTCTGCAGTCAACACCAGTGTGGCACCTGCCTTTTCTCGCAACAGCGGTGCCTTTTTGTGCATGGCTAAACACACGGCCGCCGCTCCCGCCCGATGCCTGTTCCTGTGTGTGTATCCACGTTTCGATCAATGCAGCAGGCAAGTGGGAGCCGAGCGGAGCCAAGTGGGCGCCGCCGCGTGCGGACCCGCAACCCCAAGTGTCGCACCCGGGTGCGCCCGCCCGAGTATCGCATCCGGGCGCGCCGCCCCACGTCTCGAACCCCGCGCAAGTGTCGAATCCCGCGCACGTGTCCAGTCCTGCCCAAGTGTCGAATCCTGCCCAAGTGTCGAATCCTGCCCAGGTGTCGAATCCTGCCCAAGTGTCGTCGCCGGCCCAAGTGTCGTCTCCGACCCAAGTATCACCTCCCGCGCAAGTGTCGTATCCTGGCCAAGTGTCGTCTCCCGGTCAAGTTTCTCAGCCGGCGTCGCCGGCCGCGCCGACACCGCCGCCGCCGATGGCTGGTGGGGGTGGGGGTGGGGGCGCGGGAGGTACGTCTGCAGCAACGCGATCTTGTGGAAGCGGAGCGCCAAATAATCTGTTGTCGTTCTTCCCTGTCTAGGCCATATCTTGGGAGGGGCGGCGGGAGGACTTGGTGATCGCTGTCTCATGTGGCGCTTCTGCTGTAGTCTATGCTCGTGGGTCTACGGATATGGTTGAATATCTCTGCGATACATACGTTTTGCGATATACAGATGATGATGCACGGGGACCCCCGCCAGCACTCGGTTTTGACGGCGTGCCCTGGTACGGTGGTTGTCCCATCTCCTGGAGTTATACAACACTCAAACAAGTCTACCTCGATGTGTACGCGGTAAGGCTGTAAACACTCTATAGAGTTCTTGCCCCTCGCGGGAAACCGCATCGAGGATGAGTGAACTGGACGGCACCGCAGCAGCGGGGGAAGAGACCCCGCGCATGCACCTGCCGGTCGGAGAAGAGAGGTTTGCGAGACTGGAAGACCAGCTCTCGCAGTTGGTGACCATGCTTGGTGCATCGATGAAGAAATAGGAGCCTGGCAACGTTGTGGCGGACGACGACAGTACGGCGGCGGTGCTACCGCCCCAGAGCGCAAACAAGAGACCCTGCTACCGCGGAGCGGGAGAGGGGCCTTTTCCAGCGAGTGGGCAAGTGTACTTGGACCACGCCACGAGCTGGGAAGCAGTTGGGTTTTCTGATGGCTACTGCTGAAGTCGTCGAGGACTTCCCTATTGCCTCGAATCACGGGTATCTCACCTAGGGGGTTTGCCCACCTCGCTTCCCCGCTGTCCTGTCCGACGCCCGGCCTCACCCTGGCTGGAACCTCAGGATTCGCCCCCGTTGTGCTATTCCAGCTGCTTCTCAGCTGGTGGCACGGCAAGGCTGCAAACAGTCTACCCGTCCCCCTGGTTACAAATCTAAAACAACGGCTTGTTAGTGGGCAGAAACCTGGCCCTAATTGCAGGCATGGCACCGCTTATGATGTCGTTTCCCGCAACGTGTCTTCCCCCCGACTTGCAGCCGGCGCCGGGTTCGCTGCGGCGTTTTCGATGGTGGAGCAAGCGCTAGAGCTCTCCCCGCTCGACCACGCCGAGGCGATGGGGTTGGAAACTTGGGAGGCCGCGGGAAGCAGCGGCACGATCGCGGGGTTCAAGGGCAAGAAGGTTTGCAGCAAACACAGCATATGTAGATGATAAAGTAATTCTGCCCCGAAACGGTTGATTGCGCCTTGTAATGTGCCCCCCAATGTAAAGGGTCAAGTGCTTAACCTGGTTGAGCGCTCGTATGCATACATGAGATGTGACCGATGTGCTACATGTCATTTCCAACAAGAGAGCTCTGAACGTGAGTAGGTATGCCTTACGGCAAGTTTATAAAATTGAGGTTATCCACCCTCTTCAATACCCAAACATGGTCGCCTTTCCTTCAAAACTGTCCATTCTAGTTCTGTAACCAAGCAGGAAGTGACCCCCTCGCTCCCCTCCCGAGAGGTGCATGTAGCTGAAGAATAAGAATACTCCAACAAGACACAACCAAACATGCGGCAGCTTTCTCTTCAAGGGGCTGCTGTTGAAGACCAGCATGGTGGTGGCACCATCCCCCCATCGAACGGTTGCACACAAAGAAACGACCCAAAGGTTTGAAGGCATCGCCAAGAAGGAACGAGTCCATAAGCTCTCCTAGTTCTCCTTCTTGCCCGCCACAGGTCGACTGGGTGTCCCGCTGCACCATCAACGAGGCTGACGGCAGCACTCGCGAGTGCCTGCGGGCGTGGGTGAGTCCTGAGGCGACGGGCGTAAGCGTAGCGCTCGCCCTGATGTTCGTAAAGAGTCAGCACACGGGTACCGCTGTAGCATGGAAGTCTTCAGGATCCCCTCTTGGGGAAGGGCTTGGCTCAAAGCCGAGTGCACGTTTCTATCCAGTGTCAACGTTGTACATACATCACCAGGAGTTTTGGTCTCACCTGGTCGCACGCCTAGCCCCAAGAGGGGACGCGAATAGGGTCGTGCCTCCCCCCCCCCCCC